GCCCGCCCCATGATTCTTTGCGGCCACCTGAGAATCTTCAGATCTTTGGACAGGAGTGAGCGGCGGAGACACAGGTAAGTTTTAACTCTTTTTTTATGTTTTTGCATATATCTAATGCTTGCTAATTGTCCTTTAAGTCACCAAACCAAAAATGCTTAAACTCAAACAAAAATGAAATATCTGCATATCAATTAAAGTGATACTAAACTCAGGAGTTAAACCTTAAAAATATATTCAAGTACCTTAACTATTAACAATAATCTAGCTTATTTATGTAACACTCAATACTTCGGGAGCAAGCTTGGAGGCGTGGCTTCTTTGAAACACACAAGGGACCATAGGGAACAAAAGTAGCCCACCTCCAGAAGGAAGGACATGTCAGCACCAATTCAATTCAGAGATGATTTGAGGATCTACAGCCGAGTGATGCACAAAGAAGATACATTTTTGTTAATAGTTCAGGTATTTGAATGCATTTTTAAAGTTTAACTTGAGTTTAATGTCACTTTAAGTTAGTGGCTGTTCTTCATTTTCTTGGAAAAGCTTCAGGACGTAATAGTGATATGGCTGTAAACTTTATAACTCAGTTGGCACTTCCAAGGTGATGTGGTTATGATTCCAAATGCAGGTGTCCTGCAATACAGGTGTGATCAAATATCTGAACCGCACAACAAAGATTGGACCAAAAACTAAAGGTGCCCATACACTGCACGATTCTCGTACGAGAATCGCGGGAAATCCCGCGATCGTACGAGAATCGTGCAGTGTATGGAAGGCGTGCGACCGTTTCTACTGTACGGTCGCACGTCTTCCGTCGAACAAGCAGGCATGAAAACCCGCCGGGAATCATACGTTTCTCGGCGAGTTAGTGACCTGCTGGTTCAACAACTGCCGAACGGCCGGTGTGCGCACTCGCACACTGCCCGTTTGCAGTGATCGGAAGCCCGCCCCTCATTGCAGTCATCGCAAGCCCGTCCCTCAGGGGAGCGGGCTTGCAATGATCGCAAGTACGATCTGCCTGTCCAAGATGGGCAGAACGTACATTTTTTTAAAGTACTTTACAACCCTCGCAAGACAAAAGTCTTGCGAGGGTTGTAAAGTGTATGGGCACCTTAAGTGAAAAACAAAGTTTATTGTGAACCAAAACAGCTGAAAAGCAACAAACACAAGTGCAGAGTGCAAACACCTTACTAACGAACAAACAAACTATTTACAAAATATATACAATCCAAGGAAAAGAGAGAATAAGGTACAGCAGGGCCGAGCAGCAAGAGGGAGGGATAGAAGGAGCAGGCATAGCAGCTGAATCAGGTGCGTCACAAGAAGCCGGATCAGGATCACTGGTTTCCAGGAACAGAAAGCAGAAACACTGGGCACACAGGAAAAATTCTGAGCCAACAAATACCTCCTGAGGAGAATACCCTCCCAGTAGCCCCTATCAGGTGGTGATAATTTGCTGGGAACTGCTGGGAGACACCCGCTGGTGGGCCCTGGTACTACATGCTTCAGGTTCAAGGACCACTGTGCCAACAGCAGGTGCTCTGGTTCCTGACAGATGCAATAGAGTGCACCTACATGCTCTGCTTTTTGTTAGTTTGGAGAACATATTCATGGAAACTGAAAAGCTTACCATTTACCTAACATTCACGTCGTATATGATGTAGAGATGATGGTTGGAATCGTTGTCACTAGATTTTCAGGCAATGCCAAAATACATGATGGTATTGACTTCAGTAGCGTCTGCATTATCCAACTCCTCTTATATCTCACATAGAAAAATCTTTTGTTTAGGGCTGCAACAATTAATCGACATAATCGATTCTAATCGATTATTGAAAAAGTTGTCAACTTTTTCAATAATCGAATAATCTGCTTCTGATTGGTTGGCCCTGTTCACGGCTCCACACATGCTGCGCGCCACACCTCCTCCCCACCTCACGCTCGCCGCTGCCAGACCTGCCCGCATCCACGCTCCGCACCTCCTCCGCACCCCACACTCACCGCCCGCCCAAATCCACAATCGGCACACGGACGCGGGGAGAAGTAAGGAGGAGCAGATTCCTGTCATGGACTGCAATCTCAATACAAACTAGAAGTCCCATCACTGGAGCCATTTTTTAAAATGTATTTTATTTTTTATCCGATTAACCGATTAATCGAACTTAATAATCGGCTAACTAATCAATTTTGAAAATAATCGTTAGCTGCAGCTCTACTTTTGTTAACTATATAGTTTGATTCTGAACTCATATGGGATCGTGTATAAACCTTCTGCTCAGCATAAAGCGATTACTGCCACTAGATGGCGCCGAGGAGACTTCCTATATTCCTCTGCACCATCTAGTGGCGACAATGCTGTGCAAACAGCATTTGCCCAACATAAAGCCAGGTGAAAAGTTTGTACATCAGCCCCATAATGTGCTCTTCTCTTTTGGTAAA